CATGTATCCATCGCTCAGAGTGCTCGTCGTTTTTTGCAGTGGTTCCGCCAGGGGGAGCACCTCAGGAATCGTCGTAAAGGAGCGCTTCCTCTATGAGCGCGAAGTCGAGCGCGGTGCTCGGTTGCCGAGGGCTTGGGATGCGCTTCCCGTGAAGCCGCGGACGTGCTGTTCAAAGTTGCACCGCATGCAGGAGACGAAGAAGGAATCTGCCTAGCGGGCCTTCTTGGAACCATCGAGAATGGGTGCCTTTCGTGTCCTAGACATAGGGCGCAATAAACAGAGAATGTGTGCAGAAAGTCCTGGGTAAGAAGAGGTGTCACAGACACGCAAGCCACTCACGAGGCGACAGTTAAATGTGGATTGTGGGTGCTCACAATTTTGATGGGGGAGAAGGTAACGGGATTTCACATACCCTGGTATCAAGGGGGGTCACGTAAGACGATGTGACTGTACAAGGGTGTAAATTACACAAGACGGTTTAATCACACAATGGTGTCGCTACATCTTAACAAGAAGTCAGTACGTGGCTGGTCTGTCAGTACTTATGCATTTCAATCAAGTTTTACTATTTAATTATGAAAATTGAAAATTTAGATATAGGCGGCTTTGCCGCAAATAAAACCGAGAGATGCAGTTTACATTTTGAACGGTGCCTTGGTTCAAAATTGTAATTACTCTTCGAGTAAGCGGATTGCAATCAGCTACACTCGTATTGATTCTATGTATAGAACAAAGGTCACCGACCTTAGCTTAGATTTCCCAAAGCAAAAGAGCAACGGCAGCCCCGCTGCAATAGGCGTCCGCTTGACTCGTAGGTTGCTAGCCACAACAGGGTTTAATTGCTAATAATAATAGATGTCAAGCATTGCTTTCAGCTTACTTGATTTATAAGGAAAATCTTTATTCGAACAAGTGTTAGTTTTGGATACTTGAGAGGTTTGAAACAGTCGGTGAGATCATCCTCGATTTTTGATTGAAGCGTCCTTAGAAGTTGGTGACTGTTCTGTGCGGTCTTTTACGTCTACTGCAAGCAAATTAAGCTCATGTCTGAGCTTGATGAGGAGAAAAGTTGTTAACTACGCCCCGGTATGGAAGTTGAGCCATTTTGATCAAGATCAGTTATTCTGCTATCAAACTCCAGTATCACGTAACTGATGTTTTGCTATAGAGCAATCAAGACTAGATTGTATCATCACTACACTGGACACTTTACAGTCGTATAACGAAGAGTTTGAGATTCTGCCCGATGAGTAAGACGAGACTCACTTTCCTGCGACGAGGCTAGTACTCGCCATTTTCATAGTGTGTATCTAACGTAGCGGAAGGGTAATCTCTACTTTAAGATATTCAAAAGGTTCGAGTTCCTGCTACATTATGATTTTCTCTGTCTCGCTGGCATTAGAATCCTTTGCCCGCTCCGCTTTTCCAGACAGCTCGAGATGTTAGTATCCAAGCGAGGCACCATAACCTTCAGCCGCGCTGAGATGAGGGGAAACTTTTGCTAGTTTAGCAACCAATCTTGAACCTGGAATAGGGTTGCAACCCACCCATTAATGCAAAGCGCGCTGCGTGACGCGACTTCGTTTACCTGCGAAGCACCATTAGTAATGTTCTCGACGAAAGTTTTTTTTCGATGGTGCAAGCATGTAAAATGTAACAGAGTGCTGTTCACATCAGTCTTTCAAACTTGACACACACATTTGTGCGACAACGAAGCGATTCCCGACGTGTAGAGATAGGGATGGTCCCGATTCGGAGGGAGAAGAATTACTTGACAGGTTTACAGCAGGTTTGCAGCTCAATCAAAAATGAGTTGATGGTTCCTAGCTACATTCATAACACCCCAAGGGCTCAGTGAAGTTTCACTTATAAAATCCTGGGGTCCAGATTTAGTTTTTTTTAGAGTGTACTCAGGTTCAACCTCAGCTTGACTTTATATTAAAAAAACTGGTACTCGTCTTCTGTGGAAGCAACGAGAAGTAGTGACTAGCTAACGCTACCCATTTCAAATGACAGAGATATGTCGGTCTCATCACCAGTACAGATCCCCAAGTAGGAACCAGCATTCTGAATCACACGGAATGTGAGTGACGTTGTTTAAGATGTCATGTATGTGAGCGAGAACACCATACTGTCATCGTATATTGATAATTTCTCACGATGCATAGAGAAGGTACATAGCTATACCTTCATATAATATCTAAGTGTAGCCCATTGCATAAACCATCAAGATTGGAGAAAATGGTGAAGCTGTGCAGACACTGAACAAGGCAAGGATAGCGTTGCGGAGCTACTGAGCTATTTGCAATAACACTATTTGAAACCTTCGCTTTTATCCCAAAAAGGTATTCATAACGTTGGTCACAGGTGTCCCGCCTCTCTTACACGTATTTCATTTTATGCTTGAACAAGCACTTAACGTGGTTCGAGGCGTGGAACCTGGTCGTATAACTGTCGTCAAAATGTGTCTTTTGTGTAGAAAAGGCTCTTTTATAATGATAGTTCGAAGCGAAGATTGTTTGTGGCCAAGATGTTTTGTGATTTTGAATTTACGTCAGTGTAAAAAGATCATACGTACCCTGATAACAGGTGCGTGTCACACAAGATGGGCATGGTGTGACTGCACCCAAACAAGAACACGGTATGTGGCTAGGTAGCCAGTAGTTATGCATGTATTAAGATTAGTATATTTGAGAAAATCCGAACTTTTGAAACTAGGATAATAGATAAATAAAAACCAGTTTTGGCTTTAATCAGAAGAGCTAATTAGCCTTGGGTAAGTCAATAATTACTTTTGGAGTGAGCGGATTGCGATCCGCTAACTCGTACTTGTTCTAAGTATAGAACGATAGGTCGGTGGCCTAAATTACGCTTCCTCTAGCGCTAAGCTACGGCAGCCCCGCTGCACTTGTAGTCAATCTTCACCTGATTTGTTTAGACAGATCCTCTGTGAGGATGGAGGAATTTTCCTCTTTGCCCCAGGGCATGCAGGACGGGCTTAAAAGCTGATGTCTTTGCTTGGCCCTGAAGGCGCGCAATACCTTGTGGCGCAAGGTCCCGAGGCAATCGGTGTGCGTCTAGAGGCGTTTTCAAGTTACGAAAACGCGCTGGTAGAGCACGTGCAGCAGAAGATGTCTGCATCATTTGCGTCTATGACGCCACCATCGGTGGCGGAAGACTTCCCCCGCCCTAAGCCGTTCATAATGAGCGCTAAGGTCTTTGAGAGGAAGGATGGAGAGAATCTCCTGCTCTAGGTGAGAGAGGTCGAGATGGCCATCGCATCCGCCATGCTCCAAACCGAGCAACAGCGC